TTCCTTTTCCCGGCAGAGCATCTGGTGGATTCGAACCGTGAGCCACTGGGATTGTAGTTGCAGCTCCTTGCCACTAGGCCACCAGAGCTCCCCTAATAATAATAACATTTCTTTTTGAAAGGAGGGATGTATTAGATGATAGACAAGGATACTCCCTTGGCTACAATGTTGGGAACATTTCATTAATGATCATCTAGGTCATCAGACACCGAAGGCCAAAAAGGAATCTCCCTCAATAGACTTGAACATACAGACTTACTGCGCTTTGGACAACTTCACATGGGTTTCACCACTTTTCTGCTGGGCTGAAAAGCCTTTGAAATGGTTCTCTACAGAATTAGTAAGCAAGCACAACAGTAAACTTGAAAAAGGCACTGATTTTGTAGGAAGGCGTTGGGAGAAAGCTAACAGCAATATTTAAGGGAAAAGTGAAATTGCTCACTACAGATTAAGAAGCACGGGATGGCCTTGCTCTGTGGGTAATCCTGGCACTGCTCTGGGTGTCTCTTAGAAACGGTCCCTTGAATCTTCTCAGAGCCACTTCCCCTCTTAGTCATACCACTCAGTGAAGCCCTCCTGGGTCTATTTTTGACAGCCTGACATTTCACTACCCCGAAAAGCTTAGTGTCACCTACAAACCTAAATATTCAGTGCTATTGAATACGGATGAAAATGTTAAGCTTTGATCCCAGCTCCACTCCCAAAGGACTCCCACTGTGACTATTTCTTTTCCAGTCAGGTACCTTTATTTAAAAGAAAACAAAACCCAACTCTTAACCAGCTCTGACTTCATGAGTAACTAGACTCTGAAATAGCATGTTGACTATTAAAAAAAAAAAGTTTGGTGTAAAAAGTTGCCCAAGGTTTTTTCAGTTTAGGAAGCATAGTCATTTGCCTTTTTCACTGAGCAGAGTGATACCAGTGGTGTGACTAGGTCTAACATATCTTTCCAGGCCCTGATTGTGTTGTGGGTTGAGTTCTACACCCAACAGGAAAGGAATGCTTCTGGGTCAAGTCATTGTATTTGTCTCTGGGTCTTCCTTTCATAGCTAGGAAGAAGCCATGCCTAACAGTTTCTCAATGTTGCCTGTAAAGTTGTAGAGTGTTCTGGAGTGCACACTACCTGATTGTTGTGTGTTGTTTTTTGTTGTTGCTGTTTTTTGAGTGGGCATAGAAGCTCTGGTCCATTTCCTTTGATTTCTGAGCACTGCTTCAAAAGACCCCTTCCCTAGTAGAGACCCAAGTAAGCATTTTCCCTCTTTAGCTTTTTTGATATTTCGTATTTTTTCCCTAAATTACCCTTTGGCCCAAGCACTAATGGTGCCCTTGATTATTCCTTCCTATTCTTGAAAAAGAGGCATTTAGGTCACAGAGTCTGGTTTCCTTTATAAAACTAGCTTAATTCAAGTTTGAATCAGATTGACCACCACACACATTGTGAGCTCTGACTTCTGAACTAAAGTTGGGAGAAACGACTCCTCCTCAACCTCGCCTGTAGGAGCTCACCACCTAATTACTGGACTGACTTCCTGACACCTGGCATTCATCCTGGTGGACAAATCTTCACTTACAGTACTTTACACTTTAGATTCAATGCTAAGACAGGGTTTCTGTCTACTCATCCATCTAATCTCAACAAAAAAGTCTCCTAAAAACCCCCATGTGAGAGTCACCTCTTCCCCAAACTTCAAGGCTTTCCTTTCTTGTTTACTCCTCTGTGTTCTAAGTATCAGCTTTTCATTGAAAAACATTTACTCTGTAAGAATAATACTTGTCAGACCTCATAGTGAATTCTTCCTGGACCCAAGCAGTGCCTCACTTGGGCCAGGCCCTTTAGAAGAATCACCTTGTTCCCAGTTCTCTGAGTCAGAAGTTCAAGGCAAGGAAAGGGACTGTGGGGCTTTATGACCCGTCAAGGAAGACGGTTGCTCTGAGAGGACAGCGTCCTGGAGTCCCTGAGTCTGTCTGTGTTCCAGCTGAGGTGGAAAAAAGTATACCTCTCAGTCTCCTCTCATCACAATCATGTCCCACCTGCATGTCTTGGAGTCCGGTCACCTGACAGCTAGAGGAAGGGGCTTCTGCTCACCAGGACCAACTGTATTTCTATTATCTGGTTCACCTTTGTTTAATGATACAGGTTATATGACTTGGCCACTTAAAGCTTTAGGTTCAGAACAATTATGTATAAAGAGCCTGGCATAGCCTGATTAAGAAGTATACTTTTATAAAGAGAGCCCTCGTGGTGCATGGATTAAGCACTTAGCTTCTAACTGAAAGGT